TATAGATATTGGTCAATGGTGAACCGACGGGGATCTTGCTAAATTGGTGAAAGTCCAGTGGCTGAAATGTCCTGCAATCTCGATTTAATTTTATTCCTCATGCATCGAAGTAAAGTAAAAATAAAAAGCATGGGACATTTTAGCTTATCATGAATTTTGTGTTGACTACATGTAGGTGTTCCTCTGGTTTCAAATTGTACCTGCATATTTTCTGTAGGATTGCATATTTTTATACTTTGTGGCTTATTGGTATTTTTGTATTTCCGAAGATCTGGGATGCATGCTTCGACTTGTAGGCAGGGTTGCCTTTAGAGGTCTTTTTTTCCTTTGACTGATAACAATAACCTACTTTTGCATTTTCAGTAAGCCCACTTTCCCTTTTTCATTACATTCCGCCAATATAAGGTCGAATTTCCTTTTTCGTTGAATTCCGCCAATATAAGATTGCATGTCCCTCAATTGGCATCACTATCCTGAGCAACAGGAGTGTATGTTGATGGATTTGATTCTATTTGGTACATTTAAACAAATATAAGTTTCTTTATTCTAATGTTTTGATCACTTCCACCAAAGTTATATATTCGTTTACACTCAATAACCAAGAAGTTAATGTTTGACCACAAAATACGTTAGACAGTTGAGCGGAGGGATAGATATTAAGGGAGCCCTAAAAGACAGTTTTGCCGAATTTACCCCAAAAATATCCAACGAAATTAGTGCACGATTTTGGGTTAAATAATACGTCGGTTGGCCTAGTACGCCCATTACGAAGTGATTGTCACCCCTCTTTCTTTATTATTTTTTACTTGATGGAGCATGGTGTGAAACTACCCACCAGTATTCCAGTACTTCGCCGCGTTTTCTATATATAGAGAGAAATATATTGCCGACAACGACAAGAGAAACTGGAATGGCCATTTATGGCTGATTAGCCGCCATCAGTCAGCCATGCTCAACACCAGGCATATCTACCTCCGAGGCTCCAACCCGGGCCTTAATAGGTAGAAGTTCAACGCCATGGGCTCGTTGTCTAGCCTGTTTCAC